GCCAGAATTGAATATAAATCCAGTTGGTGAGCACAGAAATATGAAAACCAATAAAATTGTTTTAAATTAATTTCTAGTAAGAAGTTTTACTACTTCCCATGTTAGAGAAATTTAAATGTTTAATTTTTCATTAATGTTTCTGAATACCTCCAGCTTTCCAGCTACTGCTACTTATATTTGTGGAATTCTTCTTCATTTAAAAATTAAATTAAGTTCCTTTAATTTTAGATTGATACATAAAAGCATAAAATTACACATATGAAAGTGTCACCACAAAAAGTACGCCTATACTACACAATGCTGAAGACCTGGTTAAACATATCCATCTACTCAAACACTTATCATTTCTTTATAGTGAAAACTTCCAAAATCTTTTCTGCTTTTTTTTTTTTTTTTTTTGGTTCCAGGGATAGAACTTAGGACCTTGTGCTCGCCAGGGAGGGGCTTCCGCTGCTGAGCCATCTCCCCAGTCCTTTGCTAACAATTTGAAATGTAGAGCATGTTTCTGTTAGCTGTAGTCCCTCCACTGTACAATGGCACACGGAATTCCTACTCCTGCCTAACTCTAACTTAGGATTCCTGATCATCCTCTCCCTGTCCTTCCGTGCACCTGCTGGTGACCACCATTCTATTCTCAAATTCCATGAGATTGGAATTTTTATTTTCTTATTTTTCATCTCTTTGTACCTAGAAACCTTCCATAACCTCTTGCAGTCCAATTACCTAAATACAGGATGACTAAAGATTGCATATTAATTTTTTATTAATTTTTATAAACTATTAGGAAATGTTAAAACGACCACTGTACCAAATTATTCAATACAGGAATGGACTGGCCGAAATGAAACCTGCCCAGGCAACACCCAAGCTAGCCAAGACGTAGTCACGCTGCTTGAGTGTTGTGCGGTTAAAACACAACAGATACAAACTGAATAAAACATGTCACTCTAGGCATTAATCATGTCTGTGATAACACGATGCCGTCAGTCTGCAAGGTGACCAGATGTTGCAAAATCATAGTGTGAAAGCATCTTTAATAATTCACACTGCCTGAAGTTACCATACTGGACTCCTGGGATGTTGGCCTCTTTACGTGAACACTTTTGGGAATGATCTTTGGCAACCTCACCCGCAGCAGAGAAGCCTGATGATCTTGGCTGCCTAACAACAGGTAGTCACAGACACTCCAAGGTGTCCTCACAGTGGGCTCCTTTCCTTGCGGTAATCAACTTCCGGGCCAAGATGTCAGGCTCTGAACTTCCCAGTTAACTAGAAGCAGACTTGAGCCACAGGAAGGAAGCAAACTCGGATTTTCCCAAACACATAGTTAATGAAAAATTTAGCCACGTCTCGGGCTCATCTGTGTTCATGGAATGTGAATGTCAATTTGGAAGCCAATGCACCTACAGAGATCCCCCCTCCCATAGGAGGCTTTGATATGGTATTCGGTTAGACAATGTCCCAAGCATCCAGCTTTGCAGAGTTAACAAAAATTAATTTAAAGGTGGAAATGATGCTGCCAAAACTGTGGACTAGTTTCCTCTTCTTAACTCAACAGAAGACCATGGAAAGGGTTTAAATTACAGGTCACAATTTCTGATCTCAGTAAAAGTAAAGGAAACTTGTTTCATCCCACATGTTAGCTAGTCTTTGGGTCTAAGCTGAAACAAAAGGGAAGTGTTTTTCTCATACATTATAATAATAGTAACTCATGGGACATAGTATAATTCCCCCTTATCTGAGGTTTCACTCTATGGTTTCAGTTACCTTTACTCAACTGCATTCCAAAGATATAAAATGAAAAAGTCTACAAATAAACAACCCATAAACTTTTACACAAATTTTAATGTAATATGTCATTATAATTATTCTATTTTATTAGCTATTGCTGTCTCTCACTGTGCCTACATTTAATAAATTAAACTTTATCACAGGTAAATAAGTATAGGAAAGGGATAATGTAGGGCTTGGTAGCCTTCCCTATGGGTCTGGGAACAAGAAGGGTCCCCTGCAGAAGAAGGAATTACTGTCCTTTTCTCACCCAAGTCTTCTTGGCAAAAGGATTTTCCCCAGAGTAGCAGGAGACTCCAAATGAAATGACAAGATGGGAAGCAGTAAGGACACCCATTTACAAGGACGTCTGTGACCCAGCTGTGGGGTGTCAGCCAGGGAGAGCCTGAGGGAGCCCTGCCTAAGCACAGGGCGGCTTTCGGAAATGTGTTACTGTTTTGTTAACCCAGAGACGGGACTGAGCAGAGAGAAGATGAGTCCCTTCCTTGATGCCTTTTAGGTCATAAACACTGCTACTTAAAATCACAACTGAGGACAGACGACGTGAGATATCTGTGCAATTTTGCAAGGGCAAAATTTAATCAGTGAAAAAATCACTGATTTCTCAGCAGTTCAAAATTATCATTTTAAAGGGAAAAGACTAGAAATTTTAACATTCATAAAAAGGATGACTCCTCTTTACTTTATAGCTTAGGAATGCAAAGACATTAGTGTTTAAACCACATGCCTATTTCTAGGACTAACCTAGAAAGTTCTCCATAAGTTACCTGATCCCAACAAGCCTGGGCACTGCAGTACTAAATTCCAGGTGAAAAATCATGTGAACAAATGCTGCTGCCCTACCCTGTATCTCTGCTGAGGAGATCGCAGCATCTGCAGAGTAGAGATTGTGATATTTCTTTGACATCCATCTACTGCATAGGATACTGGGAAATTTTTTAAATTGTTTATTTATTTTATTTATGTGGTACAGGGTCTCACTACACAGTTTGGACTCGTAGTGATCCTCCTGCTTTCAGCCTCCCCAGCTCTAGGATTACAGGCAAGCACCACCATCCTTGGACTCGGTGGCCAGCTCGGTGTGCCCAGGAACGGGGCCGACCAGGCACTACCTGTGGTGCTGGGGCTCGAACCCCGGTCCCTGCCTAAGCAGACACTTAGTCCACTGAGCTATCTAGCTGCCCCTCTGGGGAATTTTTTTAGAGTTAAAAAAACAGTTGCTCATCTTTATGTTTTTATTTCCATATCATGAAGCGTAGGCAAATGCCCTCTGCAAACAGGACCACACCATCTATTCAGCCACTGCGGAACACCACAGCACACATTCAACAAAGTCAACATATACATGTACAAGGACTACCGCTACCGCCTGCAAGTACCATTAAATCTTCATGGCCGCATGACTGTATCCTACTCAAAGTATCTCATTATTATTAATAAATGATTTCATATTTCAGTTTCTCAAATCACATCATCCAAAAAGATTAAGATAAAATATTTTCCTGCCAGGATATCTTTTTTGAAATCTCATTTTTACATATCATCTTTCAACATTACCTCAGCCTCCTCTCCCCGTAACACTGGTCAGCCAGAAAACTCTGAAATAGAATACCCCGCACTACGCTCACCAAGAGGAAGGGTGATAAGGGTCACTGCGAGTCAAAGACTCAAGTCACTGGAAGGTGAAAGCTTAGCATACAGGAGAAGACTCAGAACTGTGTGACCTCTTGCACTGAGCAAAACTCAAAAGGAATTACTCGATGCCATCGAGGTGCTCGAGGGGTGGCTCAAACATGTCAGACTGTTGGCATGAACATCCCTGTGTGAAACCTCCAGCTTTCAGCAGTTGGCAGGCTCTTGCTAGGTCTCCCAGCTGTGTCGGAGGAGCTGCACCCTCATCACCAGGTTCAGCAAAATGGGGTTCCAATAAGACTACAATGACTCTACCATGCTTTATCTCTATGAAATCATGTTGCCCTGAAGTCCCAGAGTGTTCTGAATGAACATTAAAGAAGAGAATTCTTAACCCCACCAACTGGCAAAGGAATTTCAACTGCTCTGATACCATGATTCCAAGTAAATCCCTATTCATTTCTTGCTTTCCAACCTACTAGTCAACCAGAAACGCAGTCAGAATTGCTGATGAAATCACAGATCACAGAGGAGCCTCACTAATGCATTTCTAATGTTTTCATCCTCTAAGCACGGTAAGTTCCAAACTAAAACAGCTTTTGATTCGTATTAGCATTTTAAAGATCGTTCTACACATTACCTTTAGGCGGCAGTGAACTTAGGGTGGGATCTGGCCTGACAATTGCTATTAGCGACACAGCTTTTCTTCGTGCGTTCTGAAAGCCAGACCTTGGCATTAAAACACACTGCTTTTTTTCTTTTTTTTTTTGTGGCCAGCTCAGCCCACCCTGGGGTGGGGCTAGTGTGGCATGTGGTGTCAGAGATCGAACCGCAGTCCCTGTGCTTTTGCCTAAGCTTGCCTAAGCAGGCGCTTCAGACCACTAAGCTATCTCGCCGGCCCCGACACTGCATTTTTTACCTGTTGCAAAACGAATGGGACAGATAAAAGACTGGGTGGAAAAACCCCCATAATGCACGAGTTTCATATTTCCTGTATTTCATAGGTTGGGATTACAGTCGGATACTAGTAGAAAATTATTCATTCATCTTAAGAAGTTTAATTATTATAATATTCCATTAGGAAATCATCTTTATAATCTCTATTGCTACTCTATTAGTAATTACTTTAAGTGCCATCTCACCTGCTTATGAAGCTAAGACAAAATATTTTTAATGGTCCTTAAAGAGTATAGTATAAATATACGCACCAAGAAATTGTTGCAAGGTCCTCTATTACACCAGAAGAGATACTCTGATCAATTAGCAGAAGCGCTGTGAATGTCGTTAGAACCCATTTAAAATTATGGCCTACAGCATCTTGAAAACCAGCAGAGGTTTCCGTGCACTGGCAGTGACGCTCAGGAAAAGAAAGCTGGAGGTAACACAACAAGTACACAACTGATAGAAATAAACTCATTGTGCAGCACCAGCACTGAAGCCAATTAATCTGATCCTTCCTTGAACTTACGATACTGCAATGTGGTCACCATCAAGTTGATTACAACCCTTGCGGGAAGCTGTTCAGCTGCCTGAACGCGCAATGATCAGAATGTGAATCCTGCAGAACGCATCGGTACCTGAGAGCTTCATGAGAAGTTCAGATGCAGCTTTGACTGACATGTCCCGCCTTAGTATATTCCCCTTCCCTTCCTGCGGCTTCAGCGTGTCCTCAGAGATGCTCGGTGCTGCTGCTTCGGGTTCTGGGCTGAACACGTAGCTGGGCCGAGGCAAGGTCGTGCTTAGGGCTTCCTCTTCCTTGGGCTCCTCTTTCACTCTAAAATTAAGATTCATGGGCTCCTTCTGATTTGCAGCTGTCAAAAGAAAAAAAAAATGGATTATATAAACATGCATCAAAGGCCACTTCTCTCCGAGCTACCCATACTTAATGAAGTATGGAACACACAATCACCTTGTGCTAATAGCCAGAGGGATGTCAGCCTGGCCCAAAGTGCTCCGCAGTACAATACATGCCAAGCGCACTCTTGAAGGGAGTGGGCCAGACAGTCTTTTGGACCTAGACTATTTTAAGGCGAGCTGCCTCTCCAAAGTGGGCATGCGTTCTCTGGTTTCCCAAAAATGTCTCCTTCCTGAGTCTGTTGCAGCTTCTCTGACCTATTAGCACACTTCCTGCCCAATCCTACCACAGAGTAATGCTTTCAGGTAATCGTTCTGCCATCAAATATTGAATAAAAGCAAGAGTCAGAAGCAATACCCAAAGCTAAAACCTGGGTGGGGTGGTAAATCGAGGATGCAGAATTTGCCAATGAGAAAAGCTCACTCTTGCCTTATCATGAATGGGCACTGCCAAACCCTGCACAGCAGGGCATGAACTTGCCACAGTGTGCTGTCAGCAGCCAAGCTGTCTCTACAGCCCAGATGGGCTTCATTAAAGAAAAACAATTTGCTTTAAAATTTGGAGTGACTGGGGCCGGGGAGATAGCTCAGGGCCATAAGAGTGTGCTTGGCAAGAGCAAAATCCCGAGTTTGATCCCTGGTAACACCAAAAAAAAAAAAAAAAAAAATTGGAACGATTTTTGGGTTTATAGAGAAGTTACAGAGGAAGTTTCTGCATAGCCTTTAACCAGTGTCGTCTGAGGTTAACAACTTACATAACCACTGTGCATTTGCTAGGACAAACTGAGGAATTCACATTGCCTTGATCTAAACTCCGGGTTTTATTAAGATTTCAGCAGTTTTCCTACTAATGTCCTTTTTCCATTTTTAGCATGGTCAGTTGGAGCAGGGCATGTGGTCAGGGCAGGGCTAACTGGCCAGTTATGGGAGGCATCCTGTGGCTCAGCTGCATGAGGCCAGGCCTTGCCTCCCTGCCACATACTACACAGGAACAAACAGAAAGAAGAGATGAGCTCCTCTATTTCACTATCATAGGCCACTGGCTCCATTTCAAGGGTCCATGTCGTAGGAACTGTAAGTTGGTTATACTGGACATGTCTGTCTTTTGAGAAAGAGGATCTCATTTAATACACAATTCCCAGTGCTGCTTCTAAGTATGAGCTTTCAGCCCATTCCATTGTAAGAAACAAAAAGATGAAAATGAAACCCCGGAGCAAATACCTCTCACTCCTGGCCAATACATGGTACACAGTCCTTTTTATTTCATCTCCTGCCCCTCTAAGAATGTACACTTTGGAATCACAAGTGCACCCAGGCCAGCATATTTGGAAACTGGACCCCAGAAGGCTAAAATAAAATTCGTAAGTTTCACTATCAAACAGAAGCAAGCTAGCATTGGAGCCCAGGTACATTAGACACCCACCCTGCGTTCCTCACCTGCCTCCACCACACCATTCCTCTTCCTCTAGCCATTGTGTTGTGACGAAACTTCACCTTTAAGTCTACTCAGCTACCCTCTTCCAAGTAAGGTCTACCCCAACCACAAAACTCCAAGCTCCACCCCTCCTGTACTCCCAGCTGGTCTGAAAAACTGATCATCTACTAACACACTGTTACAGACAGAACTGTGCTCCTCCCCTGCAGATTCATATCTTGAAGCCCAGTCTCAGTCCTGTTCTTGTCACTGGAACACAATATCCAGCATTGCAAACTAAAGGAGAGGTTGATTTTGGCTCACATTTCAGAAGTTCTGGTCCACATAAGCCAAGCTTAAATATGGAAATAGCATGGCAGAAGAGCCTGGGCAGAAGAAAGCTGCCCTCAGCAAGGCAGACAGGAAGCAAAGACTCAAGAGAGGCTCTGGAAAAGAAGACACATATAACCTTCTAGGTCACATCCACAGTGACCCACCCCCTTTGGACCAGCCCCCACCTCCTAGCAGCTAGTCAATGATAATGGCGCCATAAAATCCAATCACCTTCCAACAGTCCTGCCTATGTCATGAGGCTGTAGAGGGACCTCCATATACAAACTATAACACGTCCTAACCTGCCCACGTAAGCACATTTGAGTTGGGTCTCTGAAGAATCAGGTACTGATTCATGACGCCATGAGGGTGGGGCCCCAAGCCAAGGTCATTGGTGCCTTATAAGAAGAGACAGAGACAGCAACAAATGTGCCCAGAGAGAATGGTGAGAAGGCGGCTCTGCAAACCAGGAAAGGTCTCAGGAGAACACAATCCTGCTGACAACTTGTCTTGGGTTTCTAGCCTCTAAAAGTGAGAGAAATAGAATTTTGTTGTTTAAGGCAGTGAACATTATTTTGTTATAGCAGCCTTAGAAGATTTACTCTAACATATTTTTAATTTATTATATTATATTATTCAATCTGTTCTCTCAGCTCCTCCTGGGTCAGCTTCATGACAGCACTCAGTGATGGCGAACCTTCACAGCTTCCAATGATGCAAGCAGTTTGGGCGGCATGAGTACACAGGTTTACCACTCCGGAAGGGCAACACTGATTTTGGTGCTGATGTATGTCATGTGTGTCAAATGGTGCCTTGGACATAAGGGTACATACGTAATTGTTGAATAAATGACACACATTGGTTCCAAAAAAGCGATATTACCAGAGATGTACCAACATTACCAGAGATGAACAGAAAACAAGAACTCTGCAATATGTCACCAAAAGCAATCTGATGTGCTATCCTTGGACCTAATCATTACAGTGGGAGTAAGATCCTTGAGATGAGGCTAAAAGCTTTGTCACTATTATGGTTTATAACTAGACGTCCCCCTAAAGCCTCATGAGATCATAGGTGAGCCTGTGGAAGGGAACTGGATTATGGGGCTGATAAGTGCCCTGCTGTCAGAGGGTGGGGTCACCGGGGGCGTGACCCAGAAAGTCCTATTTCCTTTCCTGGCTCCTCCCTTGACTTGCTGCTCCCTAGCTCCAGGACACAAGCACCTTCTCCTCTGCCACACCCTGTGCCACGCTGCTCTGCCTCAAAGCCGGTGGACTGTGGACTGTAACCTCTACGATCTGTGGGCCAAAATCAACCTCTCCTCTTTAAGTTGCGGGTACGAGGTATTACTGTGTCTCAGTGATCAGGAAGACGACCAAGACAGCTCCCTAGAGTACAGCCTAAACGAAAAACGTTTCTGAATAGTCTCTTACACTCCAGCATTGCTGAAGGAGGATGGGGAGGGGGACCCAGAAAATTTCAAGGCAAGTGCTTGACATCTAGACCTTTGAGATAATATCATTAAACTATAAACCAAAAGGAATAACAGTCTCTACAGCAATGACATCCTTAATAAGGCAGTTGCTCCTACAAGGACTTTGTTCACTTAGCACACTTCACTTCTTGATGATTTCCAACCACTGCCCTGGAGGGTGGAGGCCGGGAGTCTGGTGATGTGGCATCCTAATGCTTGCTGTCTTCCTATGCCTTTCTTCTAGAACCTTCAGACGATCCTCTTCCAAGATCATCCTAGTTAGTTATGACAGAGTAATCAGTGTGTGTTTGTTATGTCTGTGACTTTGATGCTTTAGGAAAGAATAACTTAAACTGAAGGGCTACGCATTTCAAAGTGCTTGTGCTATCCCTCTTATTTAAAAACATTTCAACATTCTGAGATGACCCTAGGGAAGAAATAAAATACTAAGACGTCTACAGACAGCACTTACTAAGTGGGTATTCTGAACATGTGAGTGGCTTCTAGAGCACTAGGAAGAATATACGCTACTGATCTTTATTTTCTTTTTCTTTTTTATTTATGTATTTTGCACAGGGGTCTCAGTGGCTGGCTCAGCAAGCCTGGGGGCGGGGCTGGCATAGCATGAAGTACTGAGGATGGAACACCGGTCCCTGTGCTTGTCTAAGCAGGTGTTTAGTCCACTGTGCTATCTCATTGGCCCTGTTGCTATTACTTATCTTTATTTATTTATTTATTTATTTATTTATTTATTTATTTTTGCATCTTAGGGAAGGGTCTACAGGGTGTTCAGGGTCTCACTACTAGATCAGACTACAGTGATCCACCTGGTTATAGCCTCCCAAGAGCTGGGATTACAGGTGTACACCACCACGCCCAGTCTCAATTACCCTCTCAGCATGCTCTGGGGGTGGGCCAGCATAACAGGTCTGGGGATTGAACCCCCAGACCCCTATGCCTGCTTGCAGGCACTTTAATCTGCTGAGCTATTTGGCCAGCCCTTCTGTTGATAACATTTAGAGGGGGAAAGTATTCAGCACTGTTAACACAACCTGGATTTAACAGACTTTAAGAAGACCCTTAAAATAAATAATCAGCAAGCTGCGTGCTGCTGAATAACAGACTTGTAAGGTATTACCTACCGGTTTTGATTCTGTAGGTCATGAAGGTATAAAACTGTAATGTGATGAGAATACGCAAATATAGCTAAATGATGTAACAGAAAAACACGTGGGCAACACTCATCCACCCAAGTTTCAATTTCCCAAACATCTGAGTCAAAAGAGAATATGTACAAAATGCAAATGTGAAGGTAGCCTGCTTTCTTACAATTACCAAGAACATTTTCATTGAGAACAGCATGCAAAACCTGTATTTTATAATTAATATGATTGAGTAATTGCTACCTTTTAATTATGCTGCTACAAAAAAACACATGCAGAGCAAGTTAGAGCTAATGATGTTTTCTTCTTCTTTGGGGAAATTGCTAAAAGCAACAATTTATGCCTAACTCAAGTCTTCACTTCATTCCTATCCCTAACACAGGAAGATCTGTGTACACATGGAGCTCAATTTATAAAGGGTTTTCATGTACCTGCATGGACTTTGGTTTTCGTATCTTAAAGTTGCCAGACACTCCACTTTTAACACAGTGAGGAAGCCCACTAATCAAGAGATCTCACCTCTCACTGTTTGCTCCAAACATTTAAGGAGCTGAGCCCCTCTGATCCTAAATA